TTCTTTTCACGGGATAAGAACTCGATGGAGTTTAATAGCTCCTGATGCTTGATATTGATAAACCACAGTAGAGGTTCCATTTTCTGATAAATGGTAACAAATAACTATCTTGAAGAAATTTAATAATCAGTATACATACAGTAAATACCTACTGAGTGCCTTACAGTTTTTAACTTTATTGAGGTATAATTTATATAAAATAAAATTCACCAGTTTTGCGTGTGCAGTTTGACAAGTTTTGACAAAGACATTTACAGTTATCACTGTGTCCACGATCATGAGCTACTAGGACATTTCCATCAACCCCTAAAACTCTCTTTCCCTTGGCAGTGAATCCCCCTCCTCCACCATCCCTTGGCAACCACTGATCTGCTTTCTGTCTCTATAATTTTGCCCATTTTATAATTTCATGTAAATGGAATTGTACTGTAGATAGTCTTTTATATCTGACTCGTTCACTTGGGATAGTGCTTTTAAGATTCATCCATATTTTTGCAAGTATCAGCAGTTTGTTCCTTTTTTACTGCTGAGCAGTAACCCATTGTATTGTTAGACTACAATTTGTTTATCCATTCTGCAGTTGATAGGCATTTGGATAGTTCTAGGTTTTGACTGTTATGAATAAAGCTGCTATTAACATTTGAGTACAAGTCTCCTCATGACCATATGTTTCCAGTTTTCTTGGGTAAAGACCTAGGAGTGGGGTTGCTGGATCATATGGTAAGCGTATGGTTTACTTTCTAAGAAACCAAGAGACTATTTTCCAAAGCGATTATTACCATTTTGCATTCCTACTGCTTATGTATGAAAATTCCAGATGTTTCACATCTATGCCAATACTTAGTATGATCAGTTTTTTTAATTTTGGCCATCCTCGTAGGTGTATAATGCTGTCTCAGTGTGGTTTTAATTTGCATTTCCCTGATTTTAAAAGAATAAACCTACAGTTTTCTACCGGTGTGGGGAAAAATCCAGTCCTTCCTTCTGTGTTTTATTCCTGTGTGTCTCCTTTACTAGTCTCACAGAGTACTTAACTTCTGGTCACCAAATATATGCAATTCTTTGTGACAGCAGCTGGGTGTCCTACAATTCAACTAAATTCTGACACTGTCTGCCTGGAGATAGCATCAGATCTCACAGGTTAAGGGCTCAGTCCCACAAGGCTGTCCCCACCCCCTTTAGGTGCCAGCTGCAAGCCCAGATTACCACCTGTGCTTCTGACCAACCACCTACAGATTGAGGGTTCCAACAACTCCTTTGGATTCAATTACTTTGCTTGAGCATCCCACAGAACTCAGGGAAGCATTTACTTAACATTTACCAGTTTATTAAAGTATATGATGAAGGATACAGATGAACAGCGAGATGAAGAGATATATAGGGTGAAATCTGGGAGGATCCCAGTCTCAGGAGCTTTGTCCCCATGGAGCTGGGGTGTGTTACCCTCTGGCATGGATGTGTTGGCCAATCTGGAAGCTCTCCAAACCCCATACTATTGGCACCTGTGGAGGGTATGATCAGTTATTTACTCCGTTTCTAGCCCCTCTCCCCCTCTGAGGGATGGGCTGGAAATTCCAAGCTCCTAATCATGGCTTGGCCTTTCTGGTGACCAGCTCCCATCCAGGAGCCCACTCAGAGTCACCTCAATAGAATGAAAGATGCTGCTAGGACTCTTGTCTCTTAGGAATTTGCAAGGGTTTTAGAAGCCCTGTGCCAGGGATGAGGTCAAAGACCAGATGTTAGAACAAGAGATGCTCCTAGTTATTCTTATAATTTAGGAAATTACAAGGGTTTTAGGAGTTTTGTGCCAGGAATGGGAGGCAGAGACCAACATATATATTTTCTGTTATTTCACACTGATGATTAATGATGTTGAGCATCTTTTCATGAGCCTACTGGCCATTTGTATACCTACTTTTGAAAAATGTCTGTTCATGTCTTTTGCCCATTTCCTATTGTCTTTTATTATTGAGTTGTAAGAGTTCCTTATATACTGGATATAAGTCCTTTAGCAGATACATGTTTTGTAAATATTTTCTCCTATCTGTGGCATGCCTTTTCATTTTCTTAAGAGTCACAGAACAAAAGTTTTGAATTTTTATGAAGTCCAACTTATCAGTTTTTTCCTTTTATATTTTGAGCTTGTATCCTATGCAAGAAATTTTGCTTATGTTATATCTCCTGGAAGTTTTATAGTTTTAGCTCTTATATTTAGCTCTGTGGTCCATTTTGAGTTAGTTTTTATTTCTCATGTGAGGTAAGGGTCAGGAGTCATTCTTTTACATGTAGATATCTAATTGTTCCAGCACCATTTGATAAAATAATGAATCTTATTAACCGCATGTATACTTACATATGTGTGTGTATCAGTCTATTTCTGGATCCTCTGCTCTTCAATTGATCTATATATTTATCCTCGTGCGAAAAACACACCGTCCTCATTTATAGTGGTATTGAAATCAGTGTGACTTCTCCAACTTCATTCTGCTTTTTCAAAGTACTGGGTTGTCGGAAAAGTCATGACATATTTTTTTGTTTTTTGTTGCAAAAATGTGTCAAACTTTTCCAGTTTTGGCTTTTCTGGGTCTGGTGCATTTTTACATAAATTTTAGAATCAGTTTGGCAGTTTTAAAAAAAAAATCTTGCTGGGATTTTAACCAGGGTTGCATTTTATCAATAGATCAATTTGGCAGAAATTGATACCTTAATAATACTAAGAATTTGTATCTGGGCTTTGATTTTGGACATTTATTATATTTTTCCAGTATTCATGAAGCACATTTTAATTTTTTTATTTACTATTTTATTAATATTCTCTGGAAATGCTTATAATTTTATTGCGTTTTCCCAACTTCCCCTTCATGTGACCAAATAAAAATTTTTACCAGACAGGATATGATGAGCTCTTAGATTTGGTTCCTTTTTTTTTTTTTCGGTGAGCAAAAGAAAAAAAGTAAAAGAAGAAGGAAAATAACTTTTCACTAACCTACAATTTTATAACTATTAAACCCTATGCAAACCAGTTACATTATTCATCTAATTTTAACCAGATCCTATCACCATGACACAAAATTGTCATTTTCTAGGCCAGTGCTTTTCAAAGTATTGTTTCTAGGCAAATTGGTATCAGCTGGAAACTGTAAGAAATGCAGATTCTCCCACCCCAGACTGACTAAAGCAGAAACCCTGGGGGGGCGGGGCAGCATTCTGTTGTCACAAACACCCTCCCTCTCCATCCTGATTTTGTTACTGGCTAAGAACTGCTGTCATGGACTTTTTTTTTTTTTAAGATTTTATTGGGGATTTGGGGGAGGGGGACAATGTTGGGAATTAAGGAAGGGGACCAGCCAAGTTGTTCTTAAGTCTTGGTTGTAGAGGATGCCAGTCACCATCTGGCTGCCCATCGGCAGCTTGTGGTCTCTTAGCTCAAGGTGCTGTGTTCAATCTTAGCTGCAGGTGGGCATAGCCACCATCCCATGTGGGAGTCGAACCAGCAGCCTTGTTGTTAAGAGCACATGCTCTATCCACTGAGCCATCCGGGCGGCAGCTCAGTGCAAGGTGCCGAGTTCATTCAGTCTTAGTTGCGCGTGGCCATAGCCCACCATCAAACAGGCAATCTTGTTGTTACACCAGCTGAGCCATCTTGCAACCTGTTGGCAGCTCAGCGACAGCTCAGCCCAGTCACAGTGTCACTGGCCCATGTGGGAAGCAAACTGGTGACACTGTTGCTCAGAGCTCACTCTCCTAAGCCAACTCTTAACCAACTGAGCCACTCGGCCAGCCCAATGGACTTTTTTTTTAAACAGCTTTATTGAGGTATAATTTATTTATTTATTTATATATAAATGTATGTATTTAACTAGAGACTTTTTTTTACATTTTTATTATTATTACTATCATTAGTTTCTGGTGTACAAAACAATGCAATAGTTATCCTTCTCACCCCTCACAAAGTGACAACCCCCACTGTTGAATAACCATAAAGTTTTTAAAACTAGGAATTACCCTTCGTTTCTTGGTTCAGAACACCTGGGAAGATTTACATGAGAACTTTCTTTCTGGAAGATAAATCTCAAGTTTTATCAAAGGAGAGAGAAGTATGGAGACGAGTTATAAGGCTATTGCAGCAGTTGATACAGAAATGAAATCTATAGGACTTGGATATCAGGGCAGTGCAAAGGGAGAATCAGAGATGACTCAAGGTTTTGATTCAGTGAGCTTGCATTGTACAAAATTCTTGTGTTACACACCTTCCGATTTCTTCATTGGTCAGCTTCAGAACTCTTGTATTCTGTCTTTGTATCCTGTATAGGGTAGTGATTTTTAGCATTGTTTAAACAGCAACTGGCACCTAAAGTACTCAATGATCTTTTTCTTTTGTTTGTTTTTGTTTTTTATCAGCTGAGCCATCCTGCCACCTGTTGGCAGCTCAGCAGCAGCTCAGCTCGGGCCGTGAATTGAACCGGTGACCCTAGGGCTCAGAGCTCACACTCTTGAGTGAGCTCTTAACCAACTGAGCCACTCGGCCAGCCCTTCAATGATCTTTTAATTTGGGGAGATTCATTCATGGCACAGTGTTAATGGTGGAGCAAAATGTAAACCGTACATGAGATCAAAAGAGGAAATCTTAAATTTGGTGTCTCCCTTTGGCAATTAGGATAGACAGAAGGCAAAGGGATTAGAAAGTAAACCCTCGATGTATTGGGAAATTAATAGTTTGTAACTTAAAATTTTTTTCTAAGTCTCAGTAATCATTTTCCATTGACCAGTCTTAGAAAAACAACAACAACAGGTTTTGAATATTGTAAATGATTTAGGATTCTAGGTTAAAAGAAAAAATGAATATGAACTCGGTAAATTTATTGTTTGAAATTGCCAGACTGTGTTCGTAGAGGCAGAACCAAAATTATTGGCTGGTACCAGAACCACTGCCTTCTCCTTACTTTAACAGAAATTCTCATCTACAGAAGCAAATCTCTTACGCTGGGTTTTTGTTACAGCTAGTCCTCCTCGTTTTGTGACTGTAGAGGAACTTCTAGAGACAGCAAGAGGAGTCACTAACATGGTTTTAGCCCATGAAATTGTAGTAAATGGAGACTTCCGGATTAAACCTGTTGAATTACCAGAAGACAGGTAAAGTGGTTACTGAGCTATTTTGTGTAGTAGAATGCTGTCATTTCCCAGTTCTAGAAATGTTTTCTTCATTTGATGTCACTATATTCAAATACACCTCTCCTTTTGTATGTTGTTAAAAAATATCCCTATACCAAGAATTACTAGAGTTTGAAAGTGGATCAAAGGACCACTGATTCTTCAAAATGTAAACAAAAAGTCTGGAAATCTCCTGTGGAAATCTTTCATGTTGGCGTCTCCCTACTTCGCAGGTCTTAGGTGCCTCATATTGTTTCATTCATTTCTTGTAACTATCACATTGTACTGTAGTTGATGGTTTGTGTTCTTCACCAAGTTGTAAACGCTGCATATTGGGGGTGCCAAAAAAATGTATTCACGTGACTTGTGTTCATCTTTTGTTATCAGTATATTGAGTATTACAATTTTAATACAGTTTTTTTCCTTTCTTAAAATGTGTATACATTTTTTTGGCACCCTCTGTATACAAGGACTATGCATTATTCTCTGTATCCCTAGCGTTTGGCACATGTCATATTGAATCTAAAACTCTATTGATTGTAAGGTGCTCCTTTTAAAACGTATTTTCATAAGAAAGAAAAATCATAGCTCATTATAACTGTAAAAGAGCCGTGAAAAATGCTGGTATTCTGTTAACAGAGGAGGAGAAATGGATGCCGGGTTGTCAAGCTCTAGTGTGTCTCACTTCTAAATATGACTGTCCAGGCATTTCTTATAGTATGTTCTGCAAAGATAGTACTTTTTCATATTAATGAAGAATTATTTGTTTTGCTTATGATATAATGGCTAGTTTTAATGAGATGTTATAATGTAAGTTTTACAGTTTGGCACCTAAAGTTAAGCAATTGTCTCATATATTACATGGGAATAGGATATTTTTTTAGGAAGTCCTTCAACCTATATACATGCTGAATTGCTATCCTAAGCTACTTAATCATAAATGTCTTAGGAAACTTGATGGTATCAGGAACTAACAATTAACAGCTCTGAACTTTCCAATATTCTTTATATCGTAATGGCCCTATTATATGCTGTTAATTGGACTGATGTCATCTGTCAAATTAGTTGAAAGTTATTCTATCCAATGAGGTACTTATTGAAACAAATCATTGACTAAAAATAAGGTATATAATTGGTTTAATTATGTCTGGTAAGTCTTTTTATCCAAATTATTTTTAAAATTTCTCACCATAAACCCATAGAATTTCCACTTTTGAAAGTGATTTGAAGCTCAGATTTTTTTTTTTTTCTCATTTGCCTCCAGTTTGGAGAAGAAAGTAAAGGAGATTGTACATAAAGCTTTTTGGGATTCCTTGAGTGTCCAGCTAAGTGATGACCCGCCATCATATGACCATGCCATTAAACTTGTTGGGGAGATCAAAGAGGTGAGTTGAAGAGCAAATTGTGGTGCTTTTCTGGTGTGTTAGGAGTATTCAACCTCCCTGTGTTACTGCGCTGCAAGACTTTAAAGAAATCAAAGGATGGAGAAGTAAAAGTACTTGCCAAATATGGATTAAGAGTATTTTTGGCTTGATGCCTTTTTTAAAATTTCAAACAAGCTATGATAACCTGAAGGCATTTCTTTTATAGATGAAGAAGTTCATATTTTTAAAAACAGAATTATTTAAACAAAAGTTGTTTTATAAAATATAGGTGATTTATACAATTTTTAATAGGTATGGACATGTTCAATTTATAATGGCCAAAAAAGTGATTCACCTGTGGTATAGAGAAGGCATTAAGTGGAAGGTAGGGCTGTTTTTGCAGAGATGTATCCATGGAAATTGGCCTCTGTGGTTAGTTCACAGGCTCGTGTTAATTAATGAGGTTTTCTTTTCTCACTTTTAACAGTTTATTCATGTTGTATCCAGTAATGATTATTACCTAGAGCTTCAGTGGAAACTTAAATAGCTAGTCTAAGTGATTTGTAAACATGTTTTTCTATAAATTTGTTGACTAAGAGGTTAAAATATGCACAACATTGTAGTAACAATTGGTAAACCCTTATTTGGGTAGATGTAAATTCCTTCACACATAATCAGAAGTGATGTCTGACTAAGAAACTTTGATTAAACTTGGCTGTGCTCTTTTGTAGACTCTCTTATCTTTCTTGCTGCCTGGCCACACTAGACTGAGAAACCAGATTACAGAAGTCTTGGATCTGGATCTGATAAAGCAGCAGGCAGAGAATGGGGCCCTAGACATTTCCAAGCTGGCAGAATTCATCATTGGCATGATGGGGACACTGTGTGCACCTGCTCGAGATGAGGAAGTGCAGAAACTAAAGGACATTAAGGAAATAGTGCCCCTTTTCAGGTATGGGAAATGTGTTAATCACCGTCAGTGCACCGAAAATACAGAGCCTATTTTTCAAATTTTGATTTATTCAAGTGTAGATACTCGCGCATTAAAAAAAAAATTTTTTTTAAGCAATCATTTTATAAAATGTAGAAAAGTTAGCAAGATGGAAAAACATTCACCTGTATTTTTACATTCACCACATGCTGAGTTGTGTGCTATGGCTGATACTGTAACCCTTGCTGAAGAGGATTGCTTGGTGCTGCCCTGTTGGCAAGCTGTGTGAGCATTGATGCCAGACCTATGGTTTACGGTAGTCATGTGAGTCTGAATGTTCAGCTGAACCTGAGAAAACCTTCTGGTGGGCTTTGCAGGCCTGACTTTTTCTGTTAACACTATACCCTAATCATTTTACTTATTTTTTAATTAAAAGTGTCATTGAGGGCCGGCCAAGTGGCACGTTGGTTAAGAGTTGGCTTGGGACGCCAGAGGGCCCCAGTTCGGATCCCACATATGAGGGCCAGTGACACTGCCCTCTACAGCTAAGATGCTGAACAACAGCTCAACCTGGAGCTGGGCTGCTGTGAGTCGCCGGTGACGGCGTAGGCTGCAGCCCCTGCTGCAGTGGGTTGTAATGGGCTACCGTGTGTAACCAGCAGCCAGCGTGAACGGCCAGCAGCCGCAGTGAGTGGCCGTCCAGAAGCCGGCGACTGATCTGCCTCGCCCGGGAAGAGCGCAATGATGGTGCCAACTTGGGCCAGTGAAGTGACATCCTCCACAACTAGACTGAAGAACAAAAGGACAGCAATTTGTCTGTTCCCCTTTCCCCGATTCCCCAGCGCTGTTCCCCTCCCCCAATTCCCTAATAAAAATCTTAAAAAAAAAAAGTGTCATTGAGATAATTGTATATTCACATGCTGTTGTGAGAAATAGTATAGTACACTTTATCCAGTTTCCCCCAATGGTAACATTTTGCAAAACTGTAGCATATCACAACTAGAATATTAACATTGGTAAGATCCACTTATCTCACTTAGTTTTCCTGTTTTACTTGTATACATTTGTATGTGTGTGTGTGTGTGTATGCATTTTTATATGATTTTATCACCTGTGTAAGTTTGTGTGTCTGCCACCACGTTCAAGATACTGAACAGTTCCAACAGCACAAAGATCTCTTGCATTGCCCTTTAATAATCAACTTAAACTGTTTTAAAAAGCTCCCCATAAGCATTTTCTATGGCTGCAAATTATTCATTTGCATATAATGAACTATTTCTCAGTTAAGATGGACAATTAAATTATCTATAATTATTTACTATTTAACCTTGCAGTGAACATCTTTGTGCACAGAACTTTTTTCTGTATTTTAGATTATTTCCTAAAAATAGGTTCTTAAAATGGGATGACTATCAAGTCTGCCCATTGGGTACATTCAGAGTGTGAAAGCAGTTATGCCACCAGGACTAGAACATAGAACATGCCCTGAAACTAAGAGAGATGCGGGTAAGAGGAGAGGAGAAAGGAGAGTTAATTTTCTTTCTTTCCCAGGAAAGTGAATTCACCTATGTGAAAGCAGAGACTGGTGGTGAGCCCTCTGCCCTTAACCTCGGGTATTGGGCTCCTTCCTCTCTCTGTGGCTGTCATAAGGGCTGACCCAGAGCCAAGGAACATTCTGACCTAGACAGCACTGAGGGGAGCTATGCTTGCTTGGGGGCAAGGGGTGGAGGGGTAGGGACAGAAAGTAGCTTAAAAACGTGCAGTCTTTTTAAACCATTATTGAAGCGTTAATGTTTTTCTAAATTTGTTTTTCTTAATCTACTTTCTCATGATTTTTCTAACTTTTCTTGCTACCCTTTCTGAGACGAGAAGACTACCTCAAATCTGCGCATCTCTTTTTGTGAAAACTGTTTATTTTACAAGTGCCCAGTTCTACATCCTTTTATCTCTTTTCTTTTAGGGCAATTTTTTCTGTGCTGGACCTAATGAAAGTGGATATGGCAAACTTCGCTGTCAGCAGCATTAGGCCACATCTCATGCAGCAGTCAGTTGACTATGAAAGGAAGAAGTTTCAAGAGCTGTTGGAGAAGCAGCCAAGTATGTTTAAAGTTTGTAGTGCTCTGTTGTTGTCTGTGTTTTTCCATTTTAGTTGTAGCTTGTTGCATAATGATATTGTTTTCAAAGCAAAGCTAAAATTTAATATGAGAACAGTATAATTTGAAGACAGAAAAGCACAGGACATTAGGACTTGAAAAGAAAACTTAATTGACAAGCAGTTGAAGTATATGTGAGATATAAAAATAGAAATTTGAAAGAACAAAAAAGTCTTAAAGAGGTTTTTAATGAAGACATCAGTTTGAGGTAAATTGTATGCTTGGCCTTGATTTTAAAAGCATGACTGACTTCTTGTGACTGTTGAATTTACTTTTCTTCCCCCTGTGAGGTACATCAAGAAATTTCAGTCTGCTTCTGTTTTATATTCAGAAATCGTCTGTTTTCAGACCCAGAAAAAGTCTTATTTTTTATAAACCTCTCAGATGACTGCAGGAAAACAGGTGACCATGGAATCCAAAACTTTGTTGCATTTTAGGGTGCTTTTTTGGTCTCTATTGTTTTGAGTAAATTGCAGTCTTCAGATCCAATTTATTACGAATTCTGTTTAGCCTCAAACTTCGTTGGTCATCAGATGAAAATGGTGTCCCTGGATAGATTGTGTTGCCTGACCAGAATGGTTAATTCAGCACTGAGCAGTTGTCGTCCAGCCCTAGGCAGAGAAGCCTGACATGGTACCGGGGGCCAGGAGGAGAAGGAAAGAGCAGAGGTAGACGTAGCAGCCCTGGAAGAACGAGGTTGGCTAATGTTTATCATGTCAAGGGTGTTACGTGCATTACGATGTATAACCTGCACACGGTAAGCCTGTGAGGTAGGCCCTATTAAACCCCATTTTACAGATGTGGACATAGCTTTTGAGAGATTCTTGACCAGAATTGATTGATTACACAGTTCACTTCCTCAACCAGTATTGTACTGCCCCTCAGGAGACATCCAGGGTTGCTGTTTGATGGGCTGAAGAGCCTTAGTATGAGAGGCAGGTGCTGGCAGCTGGGGCCCAGTGAAGGAGACACGTTGCTGGCCTGGAATACAGCCCCTGAGCTGGTCAAAGTTTAGTGCTTAGTACTCACAGTGGGTGGGCCGTGGGCAAAAAGCTAAAGGCTAAAGCTCAGAGCCAAGAGCTTGGCATGATCCCTGTGTTGACAGAACCAAAAGTGCGCCCTCTTGCAACAGTGAGGCGTGAACTCCAGCCATGGCCTTGGCCACCCACTGATTTCAAGGTGGATCCTACCGGCAGTGCTGCAGCACAGTCCAAGACCTGTCAGAGGAGCTTCCGGCTCAGATAATGTGGACAGAAACCTCGTCTTCTTTCTCTTGAGTCCCTCAGAGCCCCTGTTGCATTACTCAGAAAAGTAGGGAGAGCATAGTGGTTGATGAAAGACAGCTGAGGCCCTGATAGTGCTCCAGATGCTGCATAGTGCACATCAGACATGACCGAGCTCGCCTCCCGCAAGGCTGAAAGTAAACCATATTGACAGGAGACTGAGAGCTAGACAAGGACAAGCCAGGGTGGGAAAGAAGAGAGCAGAGGTTTGTGAGACATCTGTAGGTGGCAAGTCCCGGCTAGGTGCTTTGTAGTCACTGCCTTATTTAATCTTCACAACAGACTATGACGTGAAGTTGTACATTTCTTTATGTTAGGAATCTGATATTCAGACAGATTAGGACTTGCCGAAGATGACTCAGCCAGTACTTGGCAATACTGTGATTTGAACCAAGTTCTATTTGATTCCAAAGTCCGTCCTTTGTGCTGTACTATACCACACCTCCAGGATGGTCTTCCCTGAAGTCATTCCGAGAAGCATCCCTGAGTGTCTCACAGTCAAGTTCATAGCCTTGTTTTCCACAGATTCCCTGGACTTTGTCACCCAGTGGTTGGAAGAAGCTGCAGATGACCTTATGAATCAGAAGTATAAAAATGCCCTGCCAGCTGGGGGAGGGGCCCCTGGCTCCGATGACCGTCCTGTGCCAAATCCCGTTGCTGTCCAGAATTATGCATACCTGAAGCTGCTGAAATGGGACCATCTCCAGAGACCTTTCCCTGAGGTCGGTGCTCCAGAGCAGTCTCACTGCATGTGTTCACTTTATGTGCTGCTGACTTTTAAAAAAAGAATAGTTTTGTTAGGCTGTAATTCATACACCACAAAATTTCTCCTTTTAAATTGTGTAATTCAGTAGTTTTTAGTATATTCACAAGAGTTATGCGACCATTACCACTATTTAATTTCAGAACATTTTCATTACCCCAAAAAGAAACCCTGTTCCCATTAGCAGTCACTACCCTTTCTCCCCTCCACCCACCCCTTGACAACCACTGCTCTGCTTTCTGTCTTGATGGATTTGCCTGTGCTGACATTTTGTATAAGTGGAATCATACAATAGCGGCCTTTTGTGTCTGGCTTCTTTCACTAAGCATTATGTTTATCCATGTTGTAGCATGTATCAGTACATTATTCTTTTTCATTTTTTTTGTAGTCTTCTTATTGTGGTAAAATGTATACAACATAAAATTTACTTTTTTTTTTTTTTTAAGTTTTTTTTGGGGAATTGGGGAAGGGGAACAGCCAAGTTGTTGTCCTTCAGTCTTAGTTGTGGAGGGTGCAGCTAGCTCAGCTCCAAGTCCAGTTGCCATCCGGCCTCCCGACGGCAGCTCATGGCCGCTCAGCTCAAGGTGCTGTGTTCAATCTTAGTTGCGGGTGGGCATAGCCCACCATCCCATGCAGGAGTTGAACCAGCAACCTTGTTGTTAGGAGCACGTGGTCTCATCAGCTGAGCCATCCTGCCACCTGTTGGCAGCTCAGCAGCAGCTCAGCTCGGGCGCAGCTCATTGGCCAAGGGGGGATTGAACCGGTGATCCTGTTGCTCAGAGCTCACGCTCTTAACCAACTGAGCCACTCGGCCAGCCTCAAAACTTACCATTTTTAAGTGCACAGTTTAGTGGCATTAAGTACATTCACATTGTTGTGTAACCATCGCCACCATCCATCTCCAGAGCTTTTCCATCTTCACAGACTGAAACTCCATACCCTTTAAACACTAACTCCTCATTCCCCCTTCTCCCCAGCCCCTGGGAAACACCATCCTGCTTTCTGTCTCTGTGAATGTGACTACTGTTGGTGCCTCATATGAGTGGAATCGTTCAGTACTTGTCCTTTTGTGTCTGGCTTATTCCACCTAGCATAATGTCATCAAGGTTCATTCATGTTGTAGTGTGTGTCAGCATTTCTTTTCTTTTTAAGGCTGAATAATATTCCATTGTATGGCTCTACCACATTTTGTTTATTCACGCATCAATTAATGGACATTTGGGTGTTTCCACTTTTTTGGCTATTGTGAATTGTGCTGCTCTGAACATCTGTGTACAAGTTTTTGTGTGAACATACATTTTCGGTTCTCTGGGGTACGTACCTAGAATTAGAATTGCTGGGTCATGTGGTGACTTTTAAGTTTAAAATTTTGAGGAACTGCCACACTTTTCCAAAATCATTTTATAATCTCACCAGCAATGTATGGGGCTTCCAACTTGTGCTGCTTCACTGCTGTCCTTCTGTTACTCATCTTGATTAAAATCCGAGCGGTGATGTTGCTTTTCAGTTTTATCTAAAGAAACTTCTTCCCCTTCTATGCAGAGCAATATTTTTTTTCTTTTTATGTTTTTCATGGTCAATACTTCTAACTACAGCAGTCCTTTAAGGAGATAACTAACAAGGGATTCCCCCATTTTGTCTGCAAAGAGGTGGTTTGGTATATAGACTCCCCCTTCTTTTTTGAGGGCACTCAGTCTTCTGATCTCTAGCCTCAGATGCTGCTACTTCTCTAAATTAAATATCTTTCTCGTGAAAGTTCCTTATTTTAATTTTTTCAAGACATTGTAAGCCTAAGGTTTCACCTCTTGCCTCTGAGTTCCCTGTTTTGTGCCAGAGGAAGCTCTAAAGAGGGTGCTGAACTTCGGGGGAGGGGAGAAGTGGCATGTTCTCTCCTGGAGGGCAGTTCTCCTTAAAAAAGAGCTGTGGGGAGGCTGGTGTTTTCACTGGGGACAGACGTCTACTTTGGGTATCAATCCTTGGAAATTTTGCATACTAAACTCACGCACTGCATACTGTTGGAGGCATCAAAGCTAGGACACTGCCGTCTAGCAATGTGACATCAAAAAAACAGGCTGATGACAAGTCTGTTGAAGCATCTGTGTTTAACAATAGAGGAGTCGCCATCTTCAAAGATAGTTTTAATTTCCTGAGAAGAATTCTGGACTAAGACCACAAATTGTTAGTGTCTTGATTTGGTGTCAGTTTCTTATAGCAAGACTGGTCCTTAAAGTTTATTTGACGAACCTGTAAAAACTCAAATCAGGCCTTTTCACGAAGATGTCGCTGAAAGCGAAAAAGGAAGCCTGGGCCCCTCCCAAAGCCGAAGCCAAAGCAAAGGCTTTGAAGGCAAAGAAAGCAGAGCTGAAAGGCACCCGCAGCCGCAAAAAAAAAAAGGCCCGCATGTCACCCACCTTCCGAAGGCCCAAGACACTGCGGCTCATACCCTCGGAAGAGCGCCCCCAGGAGAAACAAGCTTGACCACTGTGCCATCAGCAAGGTCCCCTAACTATAAGTCAGCCATGAAGAAGATAGAAGACAACCGCACACTGTGTTCATTGTGGATGTCAAGGCCAACAAGCACCAGATCTAACAGGCTGTGAAGAGGCTCTATGACGTTGACGTGGCCAAGGTCAGCACCCTGATCAGGCTTGATGGAAAGAAGGTAAATGTTCGACTGGCTCCTGACTATGATGCTTTGGATGTTGCGAACAAAGTTGGGATCATCTAAACTGAGTCCAGCTGGCTAATTCTAAATATAAAATTTTTTCACTGTAAAAAAAAAAAAAATTCAAGTCGGAAGTCATATGTCTCCTCAGCCTCTCTACTGCTCTTCCCCTCACCCCACACATGGGAATTTTTCCCTCATAGGACCCAGGGGTGCCTTTAACAGGGATGCAGTCACAGAAATTCTCACCGCTGTCCAGGAGGCTCTGGGTTGTTATCTGTTATTCCTACTTTTTCTATTTGCTGTTTATTTTTCTTTTTATTCACTTATCAATTCTTGAGAGCCTCCTTTGTGCTATGTACTGAGGGTGAATAAGTGCAGGCTCTGTCCTCAAAGACTTCCTCCCTCCTTCTGGAAAAGGTGAATGGCTGTCTGGTTTGCCCAGGACTGGGGTGTGTGTGGGAGGTGGGTAGGGGTGGTGTTACCAGTCCAGGTGCCTGATGCTTTGAAAGGCCGAAAACTCAAAACTTCAATGTTTGGAGTAAGGAAAGGCTTATTGATGGAGAAGGAGCCAACAGAGAAGATGGGAGACCTAGTGGTTCCTCAAATTCATCTTACCAGAGTGCAGGGTTCAGGCTTCTTTTACGTCAGGGGAAGGGGAAATTGGAGGGACTGTTTTTGTAAAACTGAGGCCACAAGCAGAATTCCCATAATGATTGGCATGTCTGTGTGCAAAGAGTAAGCAGGAACTGTTAGCCTGAAGGCCATGGACACAAGGCAGGCTGGAATGAGATGGAGTCAGAGAGGCTGAGTATTTCCCTCTGTTATAGTAGTTGGTGTTGGTAGTCCACAGGACTTGGGAATTTCAGTTTTAAAACTGAGACAGTCCTGGACGAACTGGGACGCGTAGGTCACCCTTGCTCGTACCTTATGACTCTTTCCTATCTAATGATATAACTTCTATTTATTGAGTTTTGGCTCTGCCAGCCACTTTATATGCATGGTCTATTTTCATCTTTAAAACAGCCCTGTGAGGTAGGAATCCTCATTTTTCAAAGGCTGAGTTGAAAAAACTTGCGTAAGGTTATGTTGCTATTATGTGACAGACTCTGGATTCACACCCAGCCTGTCTGTGCCCTTAGTGAGTGCGCTCCAATGCGGCCTTTTTAAGGAAGAAGGGGCTCTGAGATGGAAGGATAATTCACACAGACTCCCTTATGACTCTGAAATGACTAGAAAATCCTGAGAGAAACTTCAGAGGTGTGTGTAGGGGCCGTGGCTCCACCGCCCTCTGCTGGCCAGCCAGAATTTACAGCTCAGGGGTGCTTTCTGTTGTTTTCATTACAGACAGTTTTGATGGACCAGTCTCGCTTCCAAGAGCTCCAGCTCCAGCTGGAGCAACTGACCATCCTGGGGACCATATTGCTGGTCACGTTCAGCATGGCAGCCTCAGGAATTTCCAGCCAGGCCAACTTTGCTGAAAAACTCAAGATGATTGTGAAGATTCTGCTAACAGATATGCATCTGCCGTAAGTGGCTAAGAGCTGTGGACTGGACCTTTAATGGATGGATGGGAGGCAGCTGGTAGCAGAGAGCACACTGGAACAGGGTCTCCCAGTGTAAGGCTGAATCTGGGGCCACTCTCTAGGAACTGAGAGGAAACTTGTTCTCCAACTGTCTTTGCCACGGCAGAATTTATTCAGAGCCTTATGGTCAAAGTTAGAATCAACTGTAGGGTTCACAAGGCTCTAGGATAGTGGCTTTCAAATGTCTGTGACCAGGACCCATAGTAAGAAATTCATTTTCTATTGTGATCTAGTACACACTTAGACACATATGTAACTGAAGTAAAAATTTCACAAAATGAAACTTACCCTAACTATGCTTAATACATCCTTATATTTCTATTGTATTCCATTAAAAAAAATACTGGTTGCTGCCCACTGAATTCACAACCAACTAACAGTTTGGACAACACAGCCCCAGGGAAAGGTCATATAAGAAATAACCTGTATTCCTCAGAGTTGCATGTATGTGATTAGAGAATTCTGCCCTTTGCACATTCTTCATAGATTTTGTGCTGGGTATAAGTGGATTCTTTTATCCACCAGCATTAATCCATGCTTTTGAGGGCAGCTGCTATAACTGTGCCAGCAGTGAAGTCAGATTAGGTGATTTGTGTGATTTAGGGCATACAGGAGGATATTTTTGAATGGTTCTAAGTAAACACTATATGACAAGGTTCAATTCAAAGGATTCTTCAAGGGGAATGTCCCCAGACATTCTCATCCTTACAAAATGGAGGAATTTCACTTCAGAGTTTGCACAAAGCATGCATGTGTTGAGTGCGGTGAAGGGTGTGTCCACACATGACTAGGGGTTCAACGGTCTTGACTTAGGCCAAGAGGATGTTTGTTGAGCTGAGGCCTAGTCTGAGGCCCTTGCACAGGTGTAACCCTGGGCTGTCATGTAGGTCCCCGTCCAGTGGAACTGCTCTGTCAAAGGTGCTGATTTGAGGGGCCTTGTCCTGTGCTTCCTTAGGAGTCTAGCCTCTGCCGTTTTCACCCTGGCAGTCAGAGGCTAGCAGAGTTGGTACCTGCAGTGAGGCCCAGAGCATGCACACTTGCTCCCACTAATTCTAATGTCCAAAGAATCTAGACCCAGAACAAAGGCAATTGCCTTCCCATAGAATACCCACCAGCAGGCGGGCTCCCAATAGACATCCTAGGAGAGCCTGGGGGTCCCAGGAAATCCAGGTTCTAATTTTATTAACTTTTGGATTTCAGTTTAATTAATTAATTAATTAATTTTTATTGGGGAATTGGGGGAAGGGGAACAGACAAGTTGCTGTCCTTTCGTTCTTCAGTCTAGTTGTGGAGGACGTTGCTTCACTGGCCCAAGTTGGCACCCTCATTGCACTCTTCCCGGGAGAGGCAGATCAGTCACCGGCTTCTGGATGGCCGCTCATGGCGGCTGCTGGCCGCTCACACTGGCTGCTGGCTACACATGGTAGCCCATGGCAACCCATCTGCCATCGCCGGAGACTCACAGCAGCCCAGCTCCAGGTCGAGCTGTTGTTCAGCATCTTAGCTGTAGAGGGCAGTGTCACTGGCCCTCATATGTGGGCTCCGAACCGGGGCCCTCTGGCGTCCCAAGCCAGCTCTTAACCATCGCGCCACTCGGCCGGCCCTAATTTATTCTTTTAAAGTAGTTAATACACTCACGTGTTTCAGAAATACAAAAGGAAAAAGGGTATTTAAGGAAAAGGTTCTCTCCCACTCCTGTCCCACAGCTACCAGTTTCTTGTGTATTGCTTCAGAGATATTCAAGATATTCTTAAGTCAATTCCAGGCTTATCTCACCACACAGATGCTAGCAAGAAGTTGAGTTTTGGGTTGTTGGTCCTGATGTAATCTAAGTCCTCCCCTTCCTACTGTGCTTTCCAGGAAAGGGGCAGGGGTGGAGGGAGGAGGTGAGGGGAAGAGAGAGAGAGAGAGAGAGAGACCCTGAGTCGAGTGTACACAGCCTGAGAAGTTAGGGGAAGGGAAGAGAGTCGCAAATTTTCCTTTTGAAAATGTCGGTCCGTGAGTTGGTTATTGTGACTCTTATCAGGCTGTTTGAGCTGGATAGATACGCATGTTGTTTATGGGTTCTTTCTTCCCTGGCTTCTCCTTTCTTTTCTCTGCTCAAGCTCCTTCCATCTGAAGGATGCCCTGACTACCATTGGGGAGAAAGTCTGCCTGGAGGTGAGCAGCTGCTTTTCCCAGTGTGGATTCACCCCCTTTACCACGGACAAGGAGACCGTGCTCAAGGGCCAGATCCAGGCTGTGGCCAGTCCTGACGACCCCATCCGCAGGATCATGGGTACGTTTGGGGGAAGGCAGGAAGTGGAGATATGCTCTCAGAGGGCCTGGCAGACAGGTCCCTCTGAAGAAATCTAAAAGGGTTTTGATGGATTACCAGGCTGATGAGTGAGGAAAGAGTGATTGATCACCACAGTACCACCCAAAGGTTTGCTCACGTGACCAGGCAGCCATCATTGTTCTGAAGGCTCTGCCCCTGGTTCCTGGCACAGATCTCCAAAGCCTTTGTAATTTCCTAATTGATAAGAACACTAGGAGCATCTTTTTTTCTAATGGTTGGTCTTTGACCCTGGTTCCTGACATAGCTCCTAAATCCTTTGGAGTTTCCTGGTTGGTAGGAGTGTCTTTTTTTCTAATGAGGTGACTCTTGGATGGCTCCTGGATGGGGCTGGTCACCAGAAAGCCCAAGCCATTATTAGAAGCTTGGAATTTTCAGCCCCATCCCCCATTCTCCAGCGAGGAGAGAGGGGCTGGAAATACCTACGTGTGAAGTCTCCATAAAAATCCCCAAAATATAGGGTTTGGAGAACTTCGGGGTTGGTAAACACATCTATGTAACGGGATGCTGATGCACCCCAACTCCATGGGGACCGGATCTCTTGCCCTCAGGACTCTCCCAGATCTCGCCCTGTGTATCTCTTCTTCTGGCTGCCCATCTGTATCCTTTATCATGTCCTTTATTATATAATAAACCGGTACACGTAACTGAGTGTTCCCCTGAGTTCCCTGAGCTGTTCTTGCAAATATTCGTAATACAAATCCAAAGGAGAGGAGATGATGGGAACCTCTGATTTGTAGCCAAGTCGGACAGCAGTCGGTGACCTGGGGGTTTACTACTTGTGATTGGCATCTGAAGTGGGGGCAGTCTTGTGGAACTGAGCCCTTAACCTGTGGGATCTGATGCTATCTCCAGGTAGTGTCAGAATTGAGTAAAATTGTAGGACACGCAGCTGGAGTCACAAGCATTGCTTGGCGTGGGGAAACCCCTCCCACATCTGGTGTCAGAGTGTTTTGAGTGTGATAGGAGGAGCGCAGGTTTTGTGTAGGGTGAGTATAGGCTTTCCTTACACGCACTTCCTGTGTAGCTTGAGCAAGTGACTTGACACTTGAGTTCCCTAATCTCTGAAAAGGGGATAATACCAACAACCATCCAAGGTTGCTGAGAGGACTACAGGTGATAACAAGTATAAAGTGCTTGCCATCATCGCTGGCAGACATAGCACTCAATAAATGAGTAGCTATTATTAAAAATACTACTGTATTATTAGCTATTACTTTTCATCATCACTGCAGTGGCACTATGAAAAAATCTGTTCACTGGTTGATCAAGGAGTGCAATGTTTTTTTGTTTGTTGGTTGGTTTTTTAGCTGAGCCATCCTGCCCCCTGTTGGCAGCTCAGCGGCAGGCAGCTCAGCTCGGACCGTGAATGGAACTGACAACCCTGTTGCTCAGAGCTCGCAGCGAGCTCTTAACCAACCGAGCCACTCGGTGGGCCACAAGGAATGCAATGTTTATTTAATTTAAAAAATTCAGATTTATCTTTAACATAATTTAATTAATTTTGAATTGCTTCCTCAACTTCTTTATTATACATGTTCAACATACAAATAGTGAAAAATTAGCAGGCTTCATGATTGATCTGTGGCTGAATGATCTGTGGTTATCAGATTTCAGATTGTAGTAGAGGCTGGACTAGTGACATGGGCCTGCTTCTACTACTATGATTTTTTTTTTTATTCTTAAATGATACTTTATAAAAAAAGAGTTACCGTATTTCCCCATGTATAAGACGCACCCTTTTCCGAAAAATTTGGGGTCTAAAAACTGGGTGCGTCTTATACAATGGTTGTAGATTTTTTTACTTGCATTTCCCGCTGAGGACGAGGCAATATATGAAGACAGTGATTTGTCATCAGACACCGATGAGGACAAGCTAATGGTTGGGAGTTTTGACAGTGTTGAGAAGTTGTATGAATTTTATGATGAATAAAACTTGAGTTCAATAACTTTATGTAATACATTTTTTTTCAAATTTTGGGCCCCAAAATTAAAGTGCGTTTTATACATGGGAAAAGATGGTACATAGATCAGTGGTTTTTTTAAAAATTGGATTATATCATCATAGCCCTACCTTGGTCACAGTTTCATCTTTGGATCACTCAGGAAGAGCCTCTGTAAGACCTTGTTGGGCCCTCGGATCATCAGGCTTAATGTTATTGACCTTGGTAGAGATGCAGGAAAGTGCCTGTAAATAGACCCCTGTAACAAGCTGCTCTGTGTCCTGTCATCCTGGTTGATTAGTAACAGCCAGTTGTTGATATAGAGATAAAAACCAGCCCTCGGGTAGAAATGATCCGAGGATTTCCACTTCTGGGTGAGGCTTCCAGCTCTGGAACCATAAGAAAACCAAACTACCTTTGGGACAGGGGTGATCAGACTCCTCCGGTCAGCAGTTTCTCTGTAAGCGTGCTATTGGGTTCCAAAGGGTCTAAGTCATTTGCACCTGAGAGATTCCCCAGGGCAGGAGGTGGGCATGAAGTTTGCAAAAGCCTATTCAATATAAATGCCACTGTTGCTTTTGTAATAAAATCTATAAAAAGTGTGGCTTGCACACACTCGGTTTTGTACACAGGAGAGTACAGAAGCATCATAGAGGGGAATGGGCCAAAAAAGCATCAACTTAAATTACTCCTCAGAGTAGGACAAGTCTACAAATGCCCACAACTCCATGGCCTTCCGTTGTTGCGTTAGAGAAGGAAGCTCATGCTTCTTCACATGGGCTCAGTGGGAAAAGACAGATCACAGCCAACAGTGCTGGAATCTGGGATCTTCATTGGCTGATGCTGGTCTCAGTATGTCTTGCTCCTCTGAGAGCAGAGCCTATCAACACTCTGGTCTCCCCTATTCATTCATACATTTATTCTTGCTTTCCAAATGTATTCTGAGCTTTTACTGGGGCCAGGTTTCATGCCAGGCAGTGTACGGGATGCTGGGGAGAGAATGATGAACAAGATAAGCATGGTTCATACCCTCATGAAACTAACCATTAGAGGGGGGAGGAAACATTACAAATGTGATGACTTTTCAGGGGTGCCACGTACTGTGGGCCCCTGGTCTAGGGGGTGGCCAGAAAAGACTTTCCTGAAAAGGTGATGTTTAAGCTAAAAACTGAAGCATAATCAAAAGTTTGTAAGGTCACCCCGAACAAGAAACAACCAACTGCTTTCGTTTCTATCACAGATTCCCGAATCCTGACCTTCTTAGAAACCTACCTTGCCTCAGGTCATCAGAAGCCATTGCCCACAGTACCTGGGGGATTGGGTCCGGTCCAAACAGAACTGGAGGAAGTTGCTGTGAAATTCATGCGCCTGGTCAACTATAACAAGATGGTCTTCAGTCCCTACTATGATGCAATCCTCAGTAAGATCCTTGTCAGATCCTAACACATATGCTCCCTACAGCAGCAGTATTATCTACTCAACTCAGAATACCTGTTCTCAACTATAACGTTGCTTTGGAAAATGGCTACATGTAGTACATTCGTATTTAATAGCATTGATTCCAAAAGGAAGAATATTGTGTATCACTGTTGAAAAGACTTGTTGAAAAATGCACTGAATTCTATTTTGAGGGTTTGTATTTATGAGTGAAAGTTTACAAATCAAAGAAGCTTTTTCTTATCTTGAGTTTTTAAATGGTTGCCTGCCATGTTTATCTTCCCCACCCCTACCCCAACCCTACCCCATCATGATTGTGGCTGCCTCTCCCAGGAGGCTGGGACCTCTTGTCTGCCATCTGGGTAGTTTTCTTTCAGACATCCAAGAGTATCTGACAGTCACCCGTCACCCAGGAGTGAAAGAAACTCAGCCATGACCATGTTTAGACGCTTGCCTCTCTCTTGCATAGCCTCCCACCTGTCCTTTGTCTCTCCAGGTATTTTGTGTTAGAAGGGCTTACACAGTCCTACTGCCTTCCCCCTGCTTGACCTAGCCAGAGCTCCAGAGCCCTTTTGTTCTAGAGCAGAGTTACTTGATTTTTTAAAAGCTTATTCTTTTACGCAAAATTACCCCTGAGCCTGGATGATGACTTCTGGGATCTAGAGAAAGAAAATTATTTGACTTTTGAGCCTTGAAAGTTAAGGAGGAAATATTTATATTTTAAAATATATGTTTGTATACTATAAAAGGAGATAACTGTCAGGAGTTTTTCCTGAAAAATTCACTCTGACACAATATACAGATGTATTGATTGGATTAGAATTCCAGAATTAGATTGAAGTGGTTTCAGATAAAATAGTGTAAGCTGACATATTTCTTTGGTAAGGAAGTCATAGAAAAATCCCTGGGTTTTGCGCAGTATTTTTCAAGGAACTTCAGTGACCAGAATTCCTGACATAGCCTATGACTGAAAGGGGAGTGTGGGATTCACAGGTGAGCTGTTCTATTAAAAAGATTAAATGTGTGCATGTGCATGCGTGTATTTCAGACAGTGGCATTATGTTAGGAGCAGAGCCATGCAGTTGTTGGCAGTGGTCTCCAGCTAATAATGCAAGGAGTCCTTCTATTAAAGGTGGTGAGGGGTGTAGGTGGGATGAGGGCCAGAGTCAGGGCAGCCAGGGCACGTTTATCCTGTAGACCGTGTAGTGATACCAGGCTTCGGAGGAGTGAGTGGCTGTACTGGGGGATGTGATTTCTCCAGACACCTGCCACGTGCTTTTTCCTTGCCCTACGAATATATGCTGCATTATGTGGGCAGATGTCATATCATTGAAGTTTAAGACTCAAGGATAAATCTTCCCTGGTTTCATTGGTAAGGGACAAATTTCAGTAAGTAGAACTTTTAAAGAACAAAATCGTATCTTTTATAGTATATTCAATGAGGTCACACTTGGAATGGTTTCCAGAGGTAAGATTGCTCTGTGGCAGCCGTGCTCATGGGCGGTATGGCATCCGGTTCCCTGGCTGAGAAGCTGGAGCACCTGGGGAGCATGCAGCATGTCTCAGCCTCAGAGTGTTGGCGTTTTTCTCCTCCCCCTCCCCCTCCAAGGATGAAGGAGGGGAGCTCTACTCCCAAATACACCAGGTGGATCACTGCTTCCCGCAGTTGTTCTTCCTGAATCTCAAAAATTCTTCCTTTTGCATTCTTTTATAAGGGTTAACTCATAAAAGAATTTTTTTTCCCCTCTTGAGTTCCTAAATTGACAAAATTTGGACAATTTGAAATCTTAAATGCATATAGTATAACAGGGAGCTTCACAGTCTCTCATGACCCCTCTACCTCAGTTACCACTGGTGGAGTTCTACAAGTGGCAAAAGCCGAGAATGAAGGAGGCAAAGTTCAGAATCACAGTATTCATATTGAATTGTTTTGTTGTTGCTCTTTGAAGCTAAGTGAGCTAATTTTTTTCCTGGAATCTCATAGGATTATCACTGAGGGCCAGGAAAGTTCACTTAGTTCATTCAGTCACTCAGGAAGTGTTTAAGCATCTACTTGTAATTCATCCCTACCGCTCTCTGGCTCTCCCTCCAAGACGAAATATCCTATGGCATATAAATTATCCCTCCAAATTGAATTGGTTCTATATAGTGCATACAGATTAGATTTGACATGATTTCCTGCCTAACGGGTTTGTGGAAACAAGTGTCTTTTATGAAACTGCTAAGTTTATTTGGCAGTAGTACTTCACTACCTGTGGATAGAACTGAGAGCCTTGAGAGTTAGGTCAATATCAACAAGTCTGATTTATTTGACAGTCGAATGAATGAATGAATGAATGAGTGAATGAATGAATGCAGAGCAGTAACTGCTACTTTGTCAGCTCTCAGTTGGGTGGATGGGTGGATGGATTATTAGTCAAGGTGTTTTTTGTTTTGTTTTTTTAATCTCATTATTTTTAATGATTTTTTTTTTAATTGGAGGACTCATCAGCTCCAAGTCAAGTAGTTGTTTCATTCTAGTTGTGGAGGGCACATCTCAGTTGCCCATGTGGGAATCGAACCGGCAACCTTGGTGTTATGAGCACTGCGTTCTAACCAACCCACTGAGCTAACCGGCCGCCCCTAATGTCATTACTTTTAAAGTAAGCTTTGAAATGTGATTGTTTCTATAACCATGTAACCCAAATATAAATATATTTCAGGTAAGAACCACACTGAGAGGATGTCTTATTGGTTAAATATAATAGACAAGTATAGGTAATAAGAACTTTTTTATTGTAAAGAAAAGTTATTAATAAGTTTGACATAATAGGCATATATGGTACACATACTGACTGATGATTGTAAGTGGATTATCCAGCAGTTCTGTTTTTGTGGCCATGCTGTTTTTCATTTCTCCAAGCCTTAAAATGCCTGGGAATAGGAAGGTGTGGCTGCCACCAACTTTCCTGGCGAGTTTCTAAAGGAATAGGCATTTGCTGTTTGATTTCCAGCGACCTTTTGGCATGCCCTGATTTATATGGCTGGCATTTGTGTTTGTTTTCATTTCGAGGCAGGGTGATAGAGTGCCAAGATGGGGAGCTGTCAAGAAACCAGAGTTCTGATCCCATTTCTGTTCCATAGTAGCTGAGGCAAATCGGGACCCTTTTCTATCACCTATAAAATGAAAGGTTCAGACTTGACCTGGAAGCTTCTTTCCAGTTCTGACATTCTGTGATAAATCTGACTTAAATAACTTCAATAGACTGCAGTAGAATTGTGCACAAAGCTCCTGATTTAGAGGAAGATCTGGGTTTGAGTCTTTCCTGTGTTGCCTTCTTACTAGTTTTGGGATATTGGCCAGTAAAGGCAAAATATTGGCCTCAATATTTTCATCTGTAAAAATGGGAACACTACCAACTCACACTCTGTGAGGATTACATTTGATAATGCCTATTAGAATGCTTTGTGCGTGGACTGTAAGTTACTTTATTAACAACAAAGGACAGCATATGAGCCTCTACCTGTAGGTGTACATCTGCTATCGCCGACTGTTGGTGTCCAGCATCCCCTCAGTCAGGCACATTTTACAGACCTATAGAGTTTCCCTCCTATCCTGTCCCAAGACTATTATTATCTTTCATCATCTCTTCTGTGCTAGGGCTACAGTCTTACCATATCTCCCAATGTCCACCGCCACCCCAATGATTTCTTCCCATCTGCACCTCTGTACTATTATTTGAACTAAATGAATGCATGAACAAATGAATGGATGACTGAATGGTAGTGGGTGATGGGCTGTGACACTCACTTTTAAAGGCATTATCTCATTGAAAACATAATCTAAATAAAGAACTACAATGATGTTTGCAACTGCATTTAAATTGGATTCTGTATTGTATAACTATTTTAAGGGATAGCCTTTCATTCATAGTATTGAAAGGAACTTGATGGGATGAGAGGGGAAAGACTTTAAGCCCAATAAGCTCCATTAGCCTATCAAATGTTTACTGATGCTTTCAGAAATAATAGCTAGAGTCCTAGAAAATAAGTGTCAGAGACCTAAAGAGGGCACAATTTTACTTAAAACTGCCCCTAGTATGGGTTTCTGTTGTACCTTACTATATTGCCTTCTGAACCTAAGAACTGGAAGTAATCTATAGGCCCTGTGGGATGGAGTGTTTAGTTTTGAAATCAGGTGTGTCTGGAGTTAGTAGCAATAGTCAGATGTCACCATTGTTAGATTTGTCTTATCTGAACTAAATATTGAGAAGCTTTAAGTGCAACTTCTGACTTAAAAGCAACCTTAAAATTGAAGCAAAACTATTTTTTTCTGTGTTTCTCATTCACATTGCCTCTGCTTTTTATTTATTTTTTTACTATTATTTTTTTTAGCTGAGCCACCCTGCCACCTGTTGGCAGCTCAGCAGCAGCTCAGCTTGGGCCGGGAATTGAACTGCTGTTGCTCAGAGCTTGCACTCTTGAGTGAGCTCTTAACCAACTGAGCCACTTGGGCTGGCCCACCTCTGCTTTTTAAAGTATTGTCATCCTTATGCTCAAAGCAGAACTTTGGTCAGGACTCAGGGAAGAAAATTTAGTAAAATGTTGAATTGTTTTTCTTGACTTTCATTCCCAAAGCTTGGCAAGCTGTGACACTTCTGTTGAATATTTAAGAATTTACTCAAATCAGTAACAGGTACCTGTTTCATTACTTGCTATGAATTCTTTCAAGACTTACAAAATGTTTATTAAAGTAAATATAATTTCACTTGCTGAAGGTCACAGTCAAGGAAGAACTATTAACTTTAATGAAGTTTGTTTTGGGAACTGAAATGTAAAAAACCAAAATTTATGAAGATGGTAATTATACTTTTACAATTGTGTAAATGAACACTTAGTTTTACATACTAAATACAGGCCAATACAGGGTTGTAAAATTACCAAATAAATTCATAATTATTGACCAAAGCCAATGTGCTGATAAAAGTGATGCATGTTTTCATTCTTTCCCAGTGGTACAACTTGGTTTTCAGTTTTACGTTTACTATTAGGTAGTTAGGACCTTTTACTTGACCAGGTGCAGCAACATAGCTATAACCTCTCATTTGAAATTTAGTGCTAAAGGCCAGAGTTTGACTGATTTTTGTTTAGGAATGACTTACAGTCCTTAAATTTTATCCAATTCTAGAATTGTGGGGGAGATTCTGTCATTGTTTCTATAAAAAGGAAAAATATGGATATTTTTTGGAAATTTCTCTGGGTCCAGCAATACAGATATATGAGTCCTTTGACTTGGAGGACTGGGTATACCCTGAGAGCCTGCACATTAGATTTCCAAAAGTAAGCTCAGATTTCTAACATCATGCTACTTATTCAACTATGTTTACAAAAGGAATTATCAAATATTCAGACAGAATCATATTAAAAACTAAAAATTCATATTATCTAGAGCATTTAGAACATTAGAAAATGTTTTATTCTAACGAGATAATCCTTTTTATAGTTAAAGGTCAGATAATTTCTAGAAGAAAAATCTTAGAAATAAATGCAGTAGGAGCAATTATAATAGACACAATGGCCTTAATACAGTGCTTGGCACTTTTTACCAAGGTAGGTCGGTAGGTTGTGTGTGTGTGTGTGTGTGTGTGTGTGTGTGTGCGTGTGCGCGCACGCTCACACATACGTTTTCTCTTTATTACAATGCTAAACTAAAGATCATTTCTCACACACATTCATGTGGCGTTGTTTTCTCATTTATGGGAACACTATTACAGACCATTATAGGTATTTGAAACCATTTTGTCTTCTTCAAAACACTATCCAAAGACAGCACTTCAGGAAAGATTGTATACATCTCTATATTCTCTATATTTTAAAATCTATGCTATATGGTACTACTTATGCCTTTCAGATGGTTTTGTTGATAACCATGATATAAAAAAAAGACCAATACAGCTTGGATACTTGAGAGAGTAACAAAATCTGAATTAGAGTCAGCTGACTTTGTTCTGAGGCAGTTGTAGCTTTAATGGGAAAAAACAGGAAGCACATGCTTGTGATCAACTTATGTAAATATAACCTTACTATGTACAAATTGATATAAGAAAATGATTCATAACCCTTTTTCCATTACAAGTTTTATAGAAATATTTGAAGCACATTTTAAAATATAAGATTAATATTTGAATTCAAATTCTAAATTGCGTACCCAGTATGTAAGATAGTTTCTTTATAACCATTACTTTTCCTCATTTTTAGCTTTTTTTCTGAATCACAACCCTTAGCCACAACTAGTTTTCTTTATATTAGATTTTCTAGAAATAAGTCAAAAGGAGATAATGTTGCTAACAAAGAGCAAAACGT